AAGTAAATTTTATTTTTAAAAAATCGTGTTTTTAAAATCCTGAGAAATAAGAGAGGTTAAAACATCCATGAAACAAGAACAAGATGACATAAATCGGAAAGAATTAGAGGGAAGAAAGGCCTAGAAGGTTTATCACCTAATTAGTAAATACATATTTGACAGAGAAATGGAATAGAAAAATGGATAGGATGTTACCTTGAGTTATTCGGATAAAGAGTTTTGTGATTGAGATTGCTTACCAGGTGTCTATCCACTAAAATTAAGAAAGTGCCAGAGCAAGGCACAGTATTGAAGCATTTTAGAACGCTGGGGTAAAAAGACAGTACTAAAAGAAAAAAAGGAACACTGGTACCAGGGGATCAGAAGCACAGTAGTCCTCTCAATAGCAGCAGTGGAAGCTGAATAATATTGGAGATGCACTTTAATGTTATGAGTAAAAATGTCTGTTTTTAAACTATAATTCTATCAGCAGCCAAAGTATCAATTAAATTTTGGATGGAATAAAGGCATTTGATCTGGAATGAGCTTTATGTTCAAGTTATGTAGAGAGAAAGAGAAACATTTCTGAATATAGAAGTTACCCAAGAAAAACACACAGGATGCAGAAAGATGGGCATCCATTATCAAAGCAAAGGGAAGAGAGGTAGGAGGACGACGTGTGTGGAGAGGCCTAGGGAGCACCCAGCCCAGTCGGATTGGGCCAGCAGCCTGAAGCCTCCAGGAAGGCTGTAGCCAGGGTGGACTTCACACCTAAATAAAAATTTGGAGGAATTTAAACATTCTGTTAGAAATTGCAAAAATAATTCATGATAGATGTAGACAAACATAAGTAAAAGAAAAATTATTACTAATTCAGAGAACAAATATTGTACCAGAAAAAAAAATGCCATCATAACATAACACAGCCCACAGTCTATATTTGCATGGTTATAATAATTCAAATACTGAATATTAATATAACCAATGTTTCTGAAGTCATTATACTGGAAGGACCAACAGAAGGGAAAGTGGAGGAGAGATGGTGGGGCAAGGGATAGAAGTGGGGCAAATCATCATCTTCCAAAATAGGAAATCAAAATAATGTATACAGTCATGGAATAAATACATATTTAGAAGTAAGGAAATAAATCCCAGAAGAAATGTTTAAAGATGAGGCTTGCAAGAATGTTTAAAGATGAGGTGTGTGCGTGCATGCGTGTGTGTGTGTGTGTGTGTGTGTGTGTGTGTGTGTGTGTGTGTTGGAAAGTAAGGTGGGGCAAAATTTTTCTTTATTTCATTATTAGTTTATAATACTTTTGGGTCTACTAGAAATGTGACATATAAAATATTTTTTCATGTATTACTTTGATAAACATTTAAAAATCATTTGGAAACAAATTTTGGTTGTTTTTTAATACCAGTTAAATTTTGGATAACAGATATCCCAAACCTAACCATTGTTTTAAACTTAATTATATAATTTAACTCTAGTTTCTTTGTCTTCGGGATCTTGCAAATTTATGTTTTTGTGTGTTTTTCAATTGATTTCAGATAGGGATAGAGAGATAGAAGCATCAATGATGACAGAGAATCATCCATCAAAGGCCTCCTGCACTCCCCCTACTGGGGATTGAGCCTGCACCTCCAGCATGTGCCCTGACTGGGGAAATGAACCATGACCTCCTTATTCATGGGTCGATGCTCAACCACTGAGCCACACTGGCAGGGTCAGGATCTTGGGAATTTAATTGACATATATAAATTGCTAGATTTCTAAGTAGTATTCTATTTCTTAAATTCATTTTAGATGAAGAGAGAGAGAGAGAGAGAGAGAGAGAGAGAGAGACATCAATCTCCTGCCTCCTGTAGGTGCCCTTATGGGAACCCACAACCTAAGTATGTGCCCTGACCAGAAATTGAACCCACCACCTTTTGGTGTACGAAATGAGCCACACCGGACCTGGGGGGAGTGTTCTTTATAAAAAATATATCTAAACCCTCCCATCGATTTTAGCATTTACACTATGATGCCTACTTATAATTTTTAGACTTGGTACTTCCTACTTAACTAGGATGCTATTTTACATTAAAGAAGAACAAACAGAGTAAATGATTCGTGGAGTATGGAATAGTAACATATTGAACATTACATTACATTGATCATAACTTTGTCTAAAGTGCAGATCTTTAAAATATTAGTTGCAATTTTCAAGATACAAAAGGTCTAAGTCCAAGACCACTTAATAGAGAATCAAAATACTTGCAGATGCATATTATATTGGCAAAGACTCTTTATTCTTTTCGTTGTTTTTTATTGCCATTTATAAGTGAATCATATTTTGGAACAATTAAATATTATCAGTTACTTTCTCTGTACTACGCATCTTAAAGTAAATATGGGGTTGCAAAGGACATTTAAAAACTTCCTATAATACAGTGGTTATAGTAGCCAGATTTTTGGTTGTTCTTGCTAATCCTCCCCCGAGAATATTTTTTCCATTGACTTTTTTTTCTTTTTAAGGAGAGAGAATGGAAGGGAGAAAGAGAGGAAGAAAGAAAGAAACATTGATGTGAGAGACACATAGATTGAATGTTTCCCGCATACACCCCGACTGGGCCTGGGATCAAACCTGCAACCCAGGTACATGCCCTGGACCAGGTCAATGCTCTAACCACTGAGAACACCAGCCAGGACAATAGCCAGATTTTTTAAAAAGAAGAATTTATAATACATGGAAATAAAATTGAGAGAGGAGGGAGAGAATGTAACCAGTTTTGCTTTTCTAAACTTAGGTCAGAGATGATAATTCTAACAATGATGAACTATAAAGAGGTTTCAAAGTAAGCCTGTCCTGGATGCAAAAGCACCAAAGTAAAATAAAGAAGGCCTCCTTATACAGAGCACACTAGTTATTTTATTTTCTCTAAGAATTGGGGAATCTCAGGCAGTACTTGTCACATCCTTGGTTAGACCATCACTACTGTTTTTATCTTTTATTTCTTGGTTTGGATGTTGTTTTCTTATCAATAATGGAATTTTAGTTTTTCCCCACAACTTAATATTGTACTTGTAGTCCCTTAGGTCAGTTCTGACTAGTTTACACCATCAGATAAATGTTTCTCAGCTTCCTAAATCAATTCTTCCAAAGGAACTGCCTCTAGACAAATTCAATCTCTTTGCTTTATAGCTATTTTAAAAATAATTTAGAAGTTACCCTGTAACTCCTGACATGTTTAGGGGTCTCCTGTGCTTCTCATCACATCTTTAGGTAAATATTTTATAACACAATCACAGTTTGGTAAGTCTAATTGCTCAGGTAATGAGATTAAACACTTTCAAATTCCTTCTGAAGGCAGTAAATACTGCTGTAATGCAACATTTTTGTGAACCAACGCTGGGTAGTTATGGAAAAATAGCATGAGTGTTTCTTGTAGGTTTTCAATGCTCATGTTCAGTGACCACTAATTTTATATATTGCCAGAAAAACTGTATTTTATTCATTAAAGAGTGGAACACGTTTTGGGACTCATAGGTGACTGCATGAAATTTAATGAAAAACTGATGCTTGTCTGTGCTCCTCAGGATAGCAATTTACATGCATACTTTGAATAATTTTATTTTACTCTTCAATTCCTTTCATGGATGATGAGATTTCTCCTGGTTTTGTCTTTTGGGACTTCAAGCTGCTTAGTATCTGCACGGAGTATTACCAGAGATTACTTGTACTCAGAGTGATTGAAGAGAGGGGCTTGCACTCTGGTGCATATTCATAAAGCACACCCTGACGCTAAAAATGGAATTGCAATCATAACATGGTCTGTTTTTGCATTACGGCACTCCTTTACACCATGGGGTGGCACTTCCCAAACTAAAAAGAAGTTTCTTTCGGGACTTATTCAGGATTCTGTTGCTACCCTCAGGGGTGTTCTGGAATAATGGTCAAAAAAAAAAAAAAATCTTATCATATTCTGCATAGAACCAGGAGTCTCTTTTACTGGCACACAAAAAGTACTTTAAAAATCACAATTATCTCTTGTATGTTGAAAAGAAAATCACATATATTTGCAATAGTGAATTTTTATTAAGATACAGATATTCATACACATAAATATGCTTAAGTACATGTGTGCATATACATATGTGTGTGCTTGTGTGCATTTGTGAGTGTGTATATTCATAATATATATCTCCATACAGAGATTTAAATGGGATTTTGTTGTCTTCTAAAGGAATGTTTCATTTTCTAGTATCTTTAGAATCCTTGTTTTCCCCAGTTTTCCATCATTTCCTCTTACAATATTCCACAGCTGCCCTGTAGTATATCTCTTACTTTTGTTTACTTGGCCATCTTTATTATCTACAACTTTCTCCTTCTTAATGTTTTCTCCACTATTTCTGTGATACATATCTATCAGGTTTTAACTGACTAATTAAAACTTCAGCTAAAGAGTCCTTTGGTGCTTAAAGTTGAAGAAATATAAATATAACAAAATAGATTTTTTTCTTTCTTATTTTGATTGTGTGCATATATATGGCTAGCTAATCTTTCAATAATCAGCTAAAATTCCAAATACCTCAATTTGAAATTTTTAAAGTAGGAAAAAAGTGAAACGTCTTTGTATTACAATCTCTAACTTAAAAGAAAAACACCCTTTGTCTTGCACATAATAGATACTTGTTAAATGCATCATAGTAGAATAAGTGATAAACTTTAGGATATAATATCTCAAATAGATTTTGAAAAAGAACAATTATTTATATAATGATGAAAGGCAAACCTGTATAAATAAGTGAATAGAGTAGGTGGATTAACATTTCAAATGTCTTCTTTTTCTTCCCATAAAGATTTCATTTTAGAGACAGAAACAAAACAAAAAAAATGGACAATTCCAGCCTGCCACTGCTTACCATAAGCCATAAAAACTATCTCTATATGGCCTGATGTTTAGTATTAATAAAAAACACTTAAAAAGGGGAAAAATGATACAAATAGCAAGTTGTAATTAAAAGAGAGGTTTACCAAAAACAGTCAGCTCTGCTGGATCACTGTCTCTTTCTCCCACCATATTGGTGCCAACACAGGTATACATCCCTGCATCACTTTTCCTGGTATTGGAGATCATCAGTTTTCCACCGCGGATCTGTAATTTTTTTTAAAAAAAAAAGGAAGAAAAAAAAGAGAGAGAAAGAATGGAAATGAAAAGTCACTAATAAATAATTTTGAATAATTAAGCACATTTGTTTTTCCTAAAGGAAACAGCTCTGGAACTAGCACTCAAAACTCTCCCACTATTTTGACATCTGCATGTGCCCTTTTTTCCTCTTAAATTCTCCTCCAAAATAAGCTCCCAATTCCCTTTCCATAGAATGCTTCTTTAAGGCAGTCTTCAACTCCTGCCTAGTCCTCTTTTGTGAACTGTGACTGCCCCCATCCAATCCGATGTTCGGTCTTCAGTCTGTGACTTGGTTGGGTGAACTGCTATTGACACTTGTCATCAGAAAGGAGCACTAGATATCTGCTCTGGATAATAAAATAAATCCGATGGACTCAGGGGTTCCACAAGTGTTTATGGAACCCTAACTCCGCAGGCTGGGCAATTTTCTAGGCGCTTGGGATTCAGTAATACTCCAAATATAAAAATGCCTGCCTTCCTGGGGCTTACTGTTAAATTGTGTGTATTATCTTTGTCTCATCTTAATTTTATTTTTTTTTTATTTTTTTTTAAATGTATTTTATTGATTTTTTACAGAGAGGAAGGAAGAGGGATAGAGAGCTAGAAACATCGATGAGAGAGAAACATCCATCAGCTGCCTCCTGCACACACCCCACTGGGGATGTGCCCGCAACCAAGGTACATGCCCTTGACCAGAATTGAACCTGGGACCCTTCAGTCCTCAGGCTGTCGCTCTATCCACTGAGCCAAACCGGTCAGGGCCTTAATTTTAATTATGAGATAATTTTTGAAGAATAGAGTGGTATGGATAAAAACAATTCAAAATTTTGGAATGATGACAATGAGTTGTTACAAATCATTGTTTTTAAACAGCTACTCTTTAGATGTCTTAAGTCAGAAGCATTTATTGGCTGAATAAACATATGTAATCTTGTTTAAATGTGTGTTTGTTAAAGATGATGCTAAAGGAGAATTAGGTTTTCAGTAAGTGTATCATTAACTCATAGTTTCTTTTCCAATTTTGGTGATTTTTTTTCTTTTTTCTTTTTGGCATTTCCCTAATCCAACAATCTTTACTTGACAATGACTGAGTGTTTTTAAAGAGATAGGAGATAAGAACATGGTCTTTTCCTTTGTTGATTTTTAAATTCATAGGCAAACAACACTAATATAGGTATGTTCTCATTAGAGATATTTCTGGCTTTAAAACCTGTCATGTCATAGAAAAGAATTTCCTACTTTGTTTTCTTTTTACCTGGGAAGACTTTCAACATGTTCTCAATTATATACAGTAGAGCGTAATGAAGTCTAAGTTATAAAAATGATGGTGGAGGCAATTTCTTCTCCCCTTGAAGCTGCATTTGGCAATATGACCTGATTCGATCAATGGAACTAAAGCAATTTTTCACCAGAAGGAAGTGCTTGGGCATTGCGACTCCCCTTCTCTTGCTGCAGCTGAAACCCTGGGACTACCATGGGGACCAGCCTGAGTTAGCCTGACGCACAATTAGAAGCCATGAGAGGATGAAGGTGCCCAGCTGAGAGTCTGTCAATTGCCAGAAGTGTGTGTTATTCCAGATCATCCAGCTGTCAACACATCTTTAAACAAGCCACAGAAGCATGAGGAAGCCTAGCAAACATCAACTACGCTGGGCCAGAGTGAAGAGCTATCAGTTTGTCCGCAGAATCATAGTCTAAATAAAATGGTTACTATAAGCTACTGCGTTTGAGGTGGTTTGTCACAAAGCTAAAGCTAAATGACACAAACATGAGCTAGAAACCCTTGAACATTGATTTTAGTCCATCACCAGGAGCACATTTTCATAACTTGATACCCTAGCAGAGACCATTAGCAAACCAGTTCTCCAGGGCAATGTAGATCCTCAGAGTTCAAGCCAGAATAACATAAACACATGTTATGATCTCCTACATGGCCTATCCAGTTCTGTTCATGATGTAATCGCAATGTACACATAAGAAAAGAAGCATTTATTAGATATTTTTAAAGATAATAGACACCCAGACTACAGGGACTTTTGACAGAAATGTAGCTTTTTTTTTCAGTTAAATGAGATATTATTTTTAAAATATCCATTCTCAATTATTATACTCAGTATAATTCTCAAAAATTACACTAAAAATAATGTCAGAAGGTTGAGGCATTATCTATTATTTCAGTGGACTGGTTTTCACACAATTCATATACAAAGCTTGAGTAGACCCTCTGAAAAAATAAAGTAATTGTATGCTATTTATCTACCACTTTACCATTTTCTGGGTGTTTTATTTTGAATATTCATAAACTAATCACTAGTTTTCCTTAAAAATATACTATTTTTCTACAAGGGCTAAACTGCAGAACCAGTCATTTTTATATTGATTTTACTTTATATCACTAAACTTTTAAATGAATTCATATATGAAAGTTGAGTTATAAATATCATTAAATTGGAAAAACTGGAAAAGTACTTGAAATATTTATCACCTCAAATTATTTCATTTTATAATTTTTAAAATAATGCAAAAAGAAATACCCTAATTAATATGGTTTATAGCCATCATTTATACTTTAACAATCACATGCTGCATGAGCAACGGATGCATTTGAAGATCTTAAAAAGAGCAGAGACTGCAATATTGAGCTGCAAATATCTATTTACATATTCAAGTTGGTGCAATTTTATTTTTTACTGTTTTGTTCATTTTTTATTACTTTATTTTTAATCTTTATTGTTGAAAGTATTACATATATCCCCTTCTTCCCCCCCATTGACCCTTCTAGCCCCACCCCCCCAAGACTTTACCAGCCTATTGTCAGTGACCATGGGTTATGCATATATGCATACAAATTCATGGGTTATAAATATATGCATACAAATTCTTTGGTTGATCTCTTCCCACTCACCCAACTACCCTCCCAAGCCTTCCCTCTGAGGTTCCACAGTCTGTTACATGCTTCTATGTCTCTGGATCTATTATGTACAGTTGATTTATATAATTTTTGTATTTGAAACCTTATTCCAAAGTTATTGTTTTTGGTTTCCCTTTTTCAGCCCTTTCAATACAGTGAAAAAGGTAGTTAGTATTCAAATGCAGTTCAACAATTTTGTTCACAGAATAAAATAAAATATATCAATTTTAAGACTTGCGATTCAGTTTCTCTAGGCATTCATTTTAATTTCACTCACACTTATTCTTTCTTCCTTGTCATCAATTCGAACTTTGTCTTTCTTCCAGTAGATGGTGGGTTCAGGGTGTCCTCGGGGGGGCTGGCACTCCAGGATGGCAGGCTCTCCAGCTGCCACCACAACATCTGTGGGATTCTGCCGGAAGTCATCTCGTAACACTGAAGGAAAAACAATTGTAGTGAAAGAAAATTCAATGACAGTCACATTTCTTACAAAGGTAACTTAAAGACTCATTTACTTGGTCCTAAAAAAGTTGCCAGGGTGACTACTTAAGCATGCCCAACTTACAAAACCTAGAGTCAACCTAAGTGTTCATCAACAGGAAAATGAATAACTGACAATGCACCTTTGCTATAAAATCTGACTTAAAAATAAGGTAAGTCTAAGGAAAATAGGGTGAGAAATGTTCATGATATTGTTCATAAATTATTACACTATTTATAATAAACTCAAAGTACAAAACTTTATGTAGTATGATCCTATCTTCTATTTAAAAAGCACATATACATATGAGTATATACATATATTAAAATAAATGGTCAAATTATACTTGGAACCTTGAACAAGTTGTGTGCACATGGTCTATGAACATGAAGGCATATCTGTCTGGGAGGGGAAGTGAGTGAGAAATCTTTGAGAAAGGCCTTTCTCCTGACATGAATATGGACATGATCCACATTGTTTTCATTACACTTCAGAAGATAGACTCATTGTTCACCCTTGCAACACACTAGCACCCACACACACAGGGCGACGTTTTCATTCTCTCCGCATCTCCACCTGCCAAGCGACATCTGGGCAGCGTGGCATTCGGAGCAGAGATATCCCTTATAGCAGTTTTGCCAGCCTGAATTTCCCTCCTTTCATTAGGAGAACAGCAGGTTGGACCTCCGCCGTAACCTCTGAAAATCTGGCATGCCTGGCTCTCCAAATGTCACCTATCTATCTGTGCACACTTTCCTTCTGCTGGCAACCTGAAAAGTCTGGAGAAATAACTTGCTCCTATCAGATTGCAGGATGCTGATTTTATTTAGCAAATAAGGACAAACATTCACAAAAATAGTTGATAACAGTTAATATACCACATACCTCAACTGCCTCTCTTTTCCCTAACTTCCTTGACTTTTTTATTCTTTGATATTCCAACACTGACAAGTGTGCTTCCTAAGTGTGCCTATGGATAAAACAAATACATATACTCACACAAATATAGATGTGTGTTTATGTATATACTAGAGGCCCAGTGCACGAAAATTTGTGCACTGGGGGGTGGTCCCTCAGCCTGGACTGCCCCCTCTCACAGTCTAGGAGCCTCAGGGGATGTCTTACTGACAACTCCTCTGCGGGAGGTGACCAGGCCGATCAGGGAAAGGCGACACCCCCATCACACTGCTGCTGCTGCTGCCACTGCCAGCCGCTGTGGCTGCCTGAGCCTCAGTCCAGGCCTTGCAGCAGCAGCCGCCATCTGCGGCTTACCTGAGACTCGGCTTCAGCTTTGTCTGAAAGGACATCTGTAAGATGTCCAGTCTCATTAGCTTATTGCCCTTTTATTAGTATAGATCACATACATACATATACATATATATACATATATATATATATATATATATACATATATATATATATATTATACACACACACATGCATATAGGTATGCACATGTATGTGTATACTTATATATTGGCCAAGCTATTTGAAATAAAAATTAGTCACCTTGTGCTAGCCTGTTATTTAAAGCACCTGCTGTAAATGTGGATTAGACCAACCAGCTTTGGTGTCCTGTAATGAGGCCCACTTCAGCAATTTGCTATATATATCTACACTAATAAAAGGGAAATATGCAAATTAATCATCACTCCACCACTCCACTACATCCAACAGCCAATCAGAGTGACTATGCAAATTTACCCAGCAAAGATGGTGGTTAATTTGCATATGCAGGTGCAGAGCAAAGACTGAAGACGACTGGAGATGGCGGCGGCCACGGAGCTGGAGCAAGCAGGAGGCTTGGGTTGCTCCCGGTGATGGAGGAAGCCAAGCTTCCCACCGGCCCTGGGCTCCATTCAAGGAGTGTCTGAGGGCCTGGGTCACCAGGGGTGACCCAGGCTTCCAGCCAGCCCTGTCCTCCGCTGGAGAAGCTGGGGAAAAAAATGAGGGGCTGGGAGCAGCTGAAGCGGAGAAGCCAAGCCTCGCTGCTGCGGCCGGACCAAAGGCCTGGGTCCTGGGTGCCGGAGGAAAACCAGTGCCGGCAGCCAGGGGAAGGAAGGCCTATTGCACAAATCTTCGTGCAATGGGCCACTAGTGTGTGTGTGTGTGTATATATCTATATCTATCTATCTATCTATCTATCTATCTATCTATATATATATAGATATATATATATATATATGATTTCAGAGAGGAAGGGAGAGAGAGAGAGAGAGAGACAGAGAGAAAAACATCAATGATGAGAGAGAATCATTGATCTGCTGCTTCCTGCATGGCCCCTACTGGGGATGGAGCCTCCAACTCAGGCATGTGCTCTGACCGGAATTGAACTATGACCTCCCTATTCATAGGTCAATGCTCAAGCACTGAGCAAGTCCAGCTGGGCATCACTCTGCTTCTTGCTTGGGCCATATATCCAGGCTCATTGTCACTCTCCAAGTAAATAGAAATCCCCTGTCCTGAGAATAACTGCAGAGAGACAACTGAGTGACTTTAGGGCTTTTCTTGTCTCTTGCAAAACCTCCTTTAACAGGGTTTTCCATCTCAATGAAGTCAGGACTCTCTAGGAGATTAGAGAACCTTGTCTCCTATTGAAGGAGCAGTAAGAAAGTGTTCAGCACAAATGGCTCGCTCTCAGTTTATAAGCTGATTAATTTGCAGCTTTCACTGCTAAGGAAATGTGTTCCATTTTAGCAAGGTTCTCTTGTCTCACTGGCAGGGAAGGTGTGATTTATTTGCTTAAGGATTTGCTTTTGAATGAGCTGAGAAGTGTGCATTTCAATGTGACATTCTGGCAGGGGGATGAGAAGGTTTGTGGTTCCCTCTTCCATGTAAATCCTCCAGGGAGAGCAAGCTGGTGACTCATTTATATTTTAAATACAGAACAGCTGCCTATTTATGCAATGTTAAGACGTGCAAAAATATGGTAACAGGGTGGTGAGCACCCCTACAATATACAGTGCTGGCAGCAAATGGTGTTTTGGCAGGCCCTCAATCTGTTTCAATATGACACATCTGGTCAGTTGAAGGACCTTCTCCAGAACTGGTCTCTTAACAAGTGACATGCCAAAAAGCTTCTACTCAAATGGTACTTAGGACCATAGCAAATCATTCAGAAACAGGGTATGCTACATCAATTTGCAACAAAACTAATTAAGAAAAAAAAGGTCCTTTGACCTGGGGGACAAAAAGAGAAAAATACCATAACAAAATAAAGTCTGTTCCTCTTAAACAATATAACATGCGTTTATGGCATTCACAAAAAAGAAAACAACTCCATTTTGCAAATGAAGCCAAGAAATCAAATATCAACTGTAATTTTAGGCTTTTAGACTATTCACCCAGAGAGTAGGGTGAGATAATAAGATAATTGGTGCTGTACCCGCTTGTAAAATGCTCTTTGGGGTTTGCATAGTACTCAGTTAATTCATTTTTGCTTACTGATATCATTTTTTTACTCTAAATCTTTGGGATAATAAAATGTTACTTCTCTCTTTCTTGCAAATAAAACTGAAGAGAAAACATCGTTTTTAGCAGGGTCTGTCATGGCAAACAGAGAACTTGCTCTTAGGAAAAAGTAAAGTCATTTTTACTCTCCTCAAATGTTTATGAAGAACATATGTGTTCTTATATTTGTTTATATGTTTCTGAGGTTTGTATATCCATTCATCAATGTAAGCAAAGTAAAATGAAATAATATTTATTGTTTTCAAATTTTGAGTTAATTATTCATTTCTGTCCTGGATTTTGCCCTGTGCTTAGTTAGTTGCAAGTGATAAGAAATAGAAGGTGTTCTCTATAGTAAAGGATTATATGGATGAAAGGAACTAAAATGGTCTTGTAAATGTAGGGAGCAAGTCTAAATTATGTTTATTTTTTTCTCTTTAAGCTCTTATTATAGAAAGAACTGAAAGCTACATTTTTAAAAATCTTTACTATTGAAAGTATTTCATGTTTCCCCTTTTTCCTCACTGACCTTTTCTAACACCTCTCCACACCCCAAGACTTCACCACCCTATTGGCTGTGGCCTTAGTTTATGCATATATGAATACAAGTTCGCTGGTTGATCTCTTCCCACCCACCCTCCCCCAACTGCCCTCTGAAATTCCACAGTTTATTCCATGCTTTTATATCTTTGAATATATTTTGTTCATCAGTTTATTTTGTTCATTGGATTCCATATACTAGTAATATCATGCGATACTTGTCTTTCTCTGACTGGCTTATTTTGCTTAGCATAATATGCTTCAGGTCCCTCCATGCTGTCTTAAAGAGTAAGAGAGCCTTCTTTTTTACTGCTGCATAGTATTCCATAGTGTAGATGTACCACAGCTTTTTTATCCACTCATCTACTGATGGGCACTTGGGCTCTTTCCAGATCTTAGCTACTGTAAATTGTGTTGCTATGAACATAAGGGTACATACATTCTTTCTGATTGGTGTTTCGGGTTTCTTAGGATATATTCTTAGAAGTGGGATGACTGGGTCAAATGTCAGTTTCATATTTAATATTTTGAGGAAACACCATAGTGTTTTCCATAGTGGCTGCACCAGTTTGCATTCCCACAAACAGAGTACTAGGGTTCATTTTTCTCCACATCGTCGCCAGCACTTGTCATTTGTTGATCTGTTGATGGTAGCCATTCCGACAGGTGTGAGGTGATACATCATGGTCATTTTAATTTGCATCTCTCTGATGATCAGTGACTTTGAACCTTTTTTCATATGTTTCTTGACCTTCTGTATGTCAGCTTTGGAGAAGTGCCTATTTATGTCCTTTGCCCATTTTTAAATTGGATTGTTTGTCTCCCTTCTGTTAAGTTGTATAAGTTCCTTATATATTTTGGATACTAAACCTTTGTCAGATGTATCAAATATGTTCTCCCATGCAGTGGGCTCCCTTTTCATTTTGTTGATAGTTTCTTTTGCTGTACAGAAGCTTTTTATTTT